GATTATTTTATTTATTTGTTGGGTTTAACGTCCGAAAACTGCCATATGAATATGAGAGACGCCGTAATGGAGGCCTCCGGAAATTTGGGCCACCTGGAGTTCTTTAACGTGCACCCAAATCTGAGTACATGGGCCTACAACATTTCCGCCTCCATCTAAAATGCAGCCGCCACAGCCGGAATCTGATCCCGTCACCTGCGGGACAGCAGCTGAGTACCTTAGCTGCTAGACCACCATGGCGGGACCACAAAAAAACTAGGAATTCGGGTGCATATTATTTTCTGGTGGCCCTGTGTACAAAACGAATTCTTTTATTCTGTTGGAGCAAGAAGCACTACGTTTGTGTTTGTGACTCCCTGGGTACGTCGCTATAATTATAATAGAGCAGGAAGCTCACATACCAGCTATTGTTTGCCGATTCCGGGTCCTAACTGTGCAAACATTCTTGAAATTTAACGTCCTATCAGTGACACGATCGGAATATGCCTTTATTAGTTACCCCGACGCCTTCTTCTTCGCTCATTTTCCACGCCTTCGTACTGCCCTGATTATTTTTGTAAAAAGGAAAATGGGAAGCATAAAAGTAGACATAAGATCGGTAATTAGAACTACAGCTATAAATCACAATACTACGATAGAATATAATGAAAATTTTCCCTCACTATCTAAGTTACAGTTTTCGAAGTACTTCAATAACATGTTAGAAGATTGCATAGCTCATGCAGAAATAAAGAACATAATAGCCACATGCACTTCTGTGAATAAAACGGGCAGCCGTAGGAATTGCCTCTGATTAGCTTGGTTGGTCAGCCTACGTAAGACTGCCGGCCTTTACTCCGGTTTGCGAAGCTGAGTTCTTGGCTAATATTTTAGCACTCTTGATGAAGACAGTGCAATAATCATTACTGATTCTCTTTTGGTGTGTACTGCTCTCACAGCTTCAGAACAATCAAGAGCCCTTGTGACATTTCACACATTACTTCCCCCCCCCCCCCCAACTGAAGCTCCTGAAGGTAGTATGGGTCCCTAACCACTGCGCCATACAGTTGAAATATATGGCCGATTCATTAGCTCGAGCTTCACTCTATGGTGTTCTGATCTAGGTACTACCAGAAATAGAACACATAGTGCCGATCAGATATAAAAATTGGCTGTTCATACGGTTATGATAGAAAATATTACTAAATGGATAGACTATCAGCACCTAAGATATCCCTGGAAACCTAAGTGAAGTCAATCTAGAAATTTCAGTTCTTTTAACCAAATTTTGATGTCGTGTCCCTCCAATAAACGTTTATTTACACAGAGCTAATCTGGCGGTATCTCTCTGTGGCCATTCTGCGAAGAGACAGAGACAATAGAGGATTACTTTATATTATTTAGAAACTATTCAATAATTAGGAAAATACTTCTAGTAGTTGTTCTGTTTACCATGGTAGGTGAAATTTATATTGTTCTTAGTTTTGGTGCCTCTGCTTGGAACATTGCCACAGAAACGTATTGGATGCCGTATCCAATTTCCTTCGAGAATAAGGTCATGTCACTATAATGCCTTCCTCAATATATTTTTCATGAATACTTGTGGTAATATGAAGGAAAGTTGCACATTCAATCAATTTTGACTGGGATAAACTCAGCTGTCTGATCTACTCAGAATTTGTGTCTTCTATGTAGTATCAGCTCGTCTTTTCTTCTATTTATTCATCTTTATTTAAATTTTTATTAGTTACTTATTATTTTTTCATTTTAATGTTACTTTTATTTGTTCATTATTTTTGTTCTTTTAACTATAGGCTATAAAACAGTGTATCACATACAGGCACCTACTAGATTTCATGGCCAATCCCCCAGAGTGGCTATGTGCCAGTACGTACAGGCAACAAAAAAAAACAAACGAAAAAGTCGAAAAGAAACACTAAGAGGGAGAAAGAGGTAGGAAAGTGGGCCTGCCACATTTTGCATTCGAGTTTTGTCCAGCCACTAAATTTCCTTCGGTATGTGCTAACACACCATGAAACACCAATGCCAACTCCCCAACGCCCAGTTACAGAAAACCAAAACACGACGGCAAAGCAGTGAGAACAAGTGTTGATGCAGTGGTGGTTTAATAGATTTGGCAAGGGTTTAAATCTAACAGCAAGCGCATTTGGCTCATTTTCAGTTAGAGACTGTTTTTATTAGTTCGCGATACAATGAGGAATTACACCATTTTGAAGGAGATGATTTTAAAATTCCGGTTTAGGTTTCAGCCCAATTTGGATTTTTGAATTTGGCATTTGTAGGAAAAATTGCAGTTTTGCCGCAATGAAGGAACAACAAGTGCGATAGCAACCTATTTGAATGTCTTACGAAAACCAGCAGGCAGATGAAAACCAAGAATGCGCTGCACAAAAGGTCCACGAAAATAACACACACAGTATGATCACGAACTAACAACGTTGACAGCCTGACACTTAATGTACGCATAGGTATACACCGAACGAGCGCAAAAAAACCAACAAGTGTTTATTTCCTTGAATGGCTCACATCCACTCAGGAGGATTGGCCAATAAAGCGTAGTGCACATTTCTGTAAGCAATATAACTACGTATAGCAATGAATTTGTAATATTGCTCTAATATATTCAACTTCTGGCAGTACGAATAATATTGGGCTATTAAGTGTGGCTCATGCTAAGGAATCGGCCAGTTAATTTAATCCTTATCCGCAGTGTCCTAGAGCCCACATTAACCTGAGGTGTATCCACGGCAGTGATACTAATGTTCGGAATGTCCTTAGAGTTCGAAAGTTCTCAGAATCTGTCAGAGCTGCACAAACTGAAAGGTAATCTGTCATTGTGACTGCGTTGTTTTGATTTAACGGAAGTTTTCGAAGTGCCATAATAACCACCATGAGCTCAGCTTCGAAAACTGGAGTATAATCAGGCAGTCGCGCTGAGAAGGACCAGTCAAGTGACTAAAGGGCAATGCTTACACCTGCCTTTTAATTATTCACCGAAGCATCTGTGGCTATTATGTAATTTCTTTATGAATGCTCCAAGTAACCTATTATTATGTTATTTATAATTTTGAGATAATGTAGGCTGGCCGTTTGGGTGAAATTTTCATCATATTCAATTATAACGCGACAATTTGAGTCATTTGTCTCAATGTTCTAATGTTCACATTTATACTTTGTAGTTTCTTTTGTGCAAACATTATCTGGGGTGCGTGGAACCATAGGCAATAAGCAAGAAAGAAGGCGTCGGGGGTCTGAGATAAAAGTATATTGAGATATTCGTGCTGGTAAAATATAATGCTTTAAATGCTTGTAATGTCAAAGTGCGAAACCGACAATGTAGTATACGCAGGCATGCTTACTGGTAGAGGACACTGATAGCCGCAAACCTGGGGAGTCCCATGCACATTCGTAGTGCTTCCCGCTCCAAGACATCTAGAAGTTTTGTTTTATAAGCAGGGCCACCCAAGAATAGTATGCATCTGAATGTCATGATTGGGTGCATGTACATGTCATACAACATTATGAAGGTGTGCCTCCGTAACCTGTATATACAGTTACACCGCTTGTGCAGTAATCCTGAGGCCCATTGTGCTTTGGCAGTTATATACTTTATGTGTGGACTCCAGTTAAGCTTTTCATTATGAATGATTCCCAGATATTTTATAGAGTCTACTTGCTGAATGGGTTCTTGTTTATATAAAATTGAAATTGAAATTGCAAATGTCCTTTGTTACTTTGTTTTCTTTGAGCAACGCACTCCTTTCGCAAGCGGTGCCTCTTGAGAGAGTGAAGCAACCTTCGGGTGCCCTCTAACGTCCACGCGATCTTTTCGTGTGAGTGAACGGCGTACAAATGACCTCCATGACAAGATAAGCGCGTGCACTGTGACCACGGCCCATCCGACAAAGTACGCGTCAGAGAGCAGTGCACGCATGCCTGCACTATAAGGACGTAGCTGCGGGCCCCTCTGAAGCTGCTTGGTTAATTTGATTGACATGTGGGGTTTATTGTCCCAAAACCACCATATGATTATGAGAGACGCCGTAGTGAAGGGCTCGGGAAATTTTGATCACCTGGGGTTCTTTAACGTGCACCCAAATCTGAGCACACGGGCCTACAACATTTCCGCCTCCATCAGAAATGCAGCCGCCGCAGCCGGGATTTCATCCTGCGACCTGCGGGTGAGCAGCCTTAGCCTCTAAACCACTGTGAAGTTGCTTGTGTCTCAAGCAACTTTCACCCGCAATCTCCTCCATATTGACTGAAAAGAAAGAAGCTTTATTATTATTATTATTATTATTATTATTATTATTATTATTATTATTATTATTATTATTATTATTATTATTATTATTATTATTATTATTATTATTATTATTATTATTGTAAACCGTGTACCGATGCTATCCCCCTAAGCCTGTTAATGTATAGCTGTCTAAAAAGGGCGCACTTTTTACGACTCGTAGTCAAGCGACAGTTCGCAGTTCAGCGCTGGCTTCTTATAACGTTATCTGCTAGACATTTTGAATGAAAGAAGCAATAGACACTTGTCTTAACAACGCTGTTGATTTATTCAAGGAAGCAGCCAAGAATTGAGACGAAAATTTTCGGTGAATATAATATTACATTCTTAAATTATGATGGTGCATTTTATTTTAATGCTCTCAAGCCAAAACTGCGCTGAATGACATTTGTAAATATCAAGGTCTGCTTCGGTAAATTAGGCATTTTACAAAGTTGTAACAATGGCGCTTCGCGTTCTCTAAGCACAAGAATACTTCGCTTAAATGTTGCGTAGTTCGTTCCAGAACTTTGCTGCGAATCGCACTTCTAAACTGTCTCAGGCAAAAAGAGCGATTGCGCTGTCTTTTTGCCACAATTGGTGCTTTTTCAGAATCAATTATTCTACGTTTGCTCGTAATGCCGCTTGTGTCTCACGAATTCTCAAAAATCTTTCTTAGAGGCATAGCCTGATTTGGCCTCATTATTTGCAGGGCATGCGCGCCATGTAACGAAACAGACACGGTGCTCGTGTCAGCCCCTATCGGACACACAACTGGTCTGCTCATTGGTTTTATGGCTGTACTCAATCAAGCTGTGTGGATCCTCACGCAGCCTCTTCTGGGGCTTCAGGAGACAGCTAGAATTGTCAATGAGCACAAGGTACAGTACAACAAATGTCTTTCTTGGCAATGCATTAAAATATTGTGGCAACAGAGAACGCACTTATTCAACAGCGGTTCGGCTGCGAAGTCCTAATGTAATGAGCTCACCTACGTAACCTATTGCATGCTTGATTGTACAACCTTACCTCTTTTAGACATTGCCTCTCATAATACAGTTGTCCTATAGCATCAGTCACTCTGAATGTGTTATTTGCTGCTTCGCATAATGCACAAACGTATCATTAGGAAGTTTGTGAAAAAAGAGCCATTTAAGAGGTTCAAGTCTCTAACTACTCAGCGCCTCATAGGAATCTTGTCTTTGAAAGAGGAGCGCCATGCATTGCCACAGAAGCTGGCAAGCGGGTGCAATGTCAATTCTTGCCCATTCTTGGATTACGCAGTAAGGGACTCCTGATTGTGCACATGACTGCTGTTGGACATGTTATGCTTGGCACAACTGATTGGATTGTGAGGTAGAAACAGAAACAAACGGCAGCTGTATTCATGAAGAGTAGTTAAACATAGAAGTATTTTCAGTTGTCCAGCGACCGTCGCAGCTGCAGTGCCATGAACTCAATTAGTTTTGTCATTATTGCCATTATTGTTTTTTAATGCTCTGATGCTGCAAGTGTACCCGGATTCTCCTTTATTCCTATTTCGAGGGTGTTAAATCGGTGGATGAGGTGTGAATCTCGTTATTCACGTTCTCGGTTTGGTTTGAATCACGTTTGTATGAGTGTTACTGATAGTTTGTCGAATGCATGGTCGGGAAAGTTGATATGTTTTGGCAGAGGTAGACTTGGGGCTAATTTCGCATGGGCTCTGTGAATATTGAAACGGATTCTAACTAATGTTTCTCTCTGTCTGATGTATTGCATACTACACACGTTGCATTCGATCAGGTATACCACATTAGAGCAATTGCATGTTAGGCTTCCTCGTATGCTAGTCCAATACTTGCGTTGTGTACTGGTTGCTTTGTATGTTTCTCGCATCGCTTTACATACAAGACATCGTGGCTTTAAACGGAGTCGGCATGAATCATTAGGAGGTAGAGTATTGATTTGAGAGTGGACAGGTGTGTCTTTGAGGTTGCGTAGTCGTTGGTAAATGACGCTAGGAGTGGACGGGAATGCGCATTTTAGACGTTAATTTCGTTCGGATATCTTGTAATGTCATTTAGGATTTTTGTTTACATTGGCGAAGTTCGTGCTGTAAGTTAAGCAGAGGTTTGTTTGTTGTGGATGATCTTGCGGAGATCACTTCATAAGTTTGTTTAAAAACGCCCTCTCTAACCATTTCGCGTAAATTCGCCACTTATAAGTCACGCTGTGTTTTCTTTTGTTAGTTTTTTGTGTGCGCGTGTCACTCAAAGACGCAACCATGTTGAACATTGTTGTTACAACCACTCTGCCTCTTCTTCACATCACGCAGTCTTTCTTTTCTTTTATGGTTTTCAGATCGCCATTGTGCACATATAATTTTGATTTGCTGTATTTCCTGATTTTTTTTTTGTATGATGTATACCCACTCCTCTCTGTAATGCTTCGGCCTTGAGAGTAAATAAATGAAATGAAATGAAATGAAATAAGTAAGTCATCACGCTTCAGTCTTCTAGCTTCCTGAACAGCCACGTCAGCCATGTGTCAAAGCCCACTGCAAGGAGTGCAAACGCATACAGGTAATCAACGTTGCTGAAAGCACACAATCCGATTTCAAGTACTTCATTAATTCAAACCTTAACTGTGACAGCTCCAATCTAATATACCTTCTCGAGTGCGGAAGATGCGGTATTCAATACATATGACTGACTGAAAAAGCCTTCCGCATCCGCTTCAATAACAACCGTTCACATGTTCATTCACTTCCAGATGTGCCTCTGTCTCGGAATATTTACTGCGGAAACCACCCATTTGATTTCATAATGGTCACACTCTTACAAAGTGGTTTCTGTAGCACAAGGGAACGTGAACAGCACGAATCAGACATGATTTATAATTTTAATACATTAAAAGCTGGTCTAAATAACACTCGAGGCATACTTTCTTCAATTCGTGCTCTGGGAGATTCAGGATAATATTTATCCTAACCAAACGTTTTAGTTTCCGTTTCTCTACTTCTTTTTCTGTTTTCTTCTTCTTTTCTTTATTTATCATTTTTCATTTCATCTGCTTTCGCCCGGAGCACGTGTTTGGCCGTGCGGCATGGGCACGCGCATTCCGAGAAAGGTGTACCACTGTCGAAAAATCCCTAACCCCCCCCCCCCCCCCTAAAAAAATCGCTCACCAGACAACCAAGTAAAATGACACATTCGGCCCCCGAGGTAAAAATTTGAAAAACAACCTCCAGTATATATTTAATATGCTTGAGACAAAGACCGGAGATCGTAGCTGCCTGGCATGTGCCTATCCTGCGCATGCGGAGCTTTGACACGCGTAGCCCTTGTTTGTTGTTCTTTTCTCTTTTTCTCTTTTTCAAGAATTTATCACATCGTTCTAACGTAGCCCGCCTCACCATGGCTTCAAGAGCAACTATGGAGGGGAAGAACACGTGGAACGCGACAGCGACATTGATCGCAAGGAATGTACTTCGGTATTCTTTACAAGCTACGGGGAAAGCTGATGAGAGGTGAACTTGAGGAGTCAAACTTTCTACCACTGAAATTTGCTTAATTTAGCCACCTGGACCAAAAAACTTGGCGTGATTGTGTGTTGTTTCACAACTCGTTTTGGATTTTTTTTCTTTACAAAAAGCACCTGCCATGCCATTGGTAGTACGCACACGTGGTCGTTTGACTACTTATCAATGTATAATGGGTGGTAGTCCCACTAGCCCAGGTGCGTTTTTTTTTTTTCACAAAATGCACAAGCTATGCGTAGTACGCACACATGGCCATTCGGCTGCTTATCAGTGCATGATGGGGGGTTGGGCCACTGGTATATGTATATTTTTATTTCTCTCTCTTTTTTTTCTCTCTCTCTCTCTCTCTCGGCTGGACGATGGCATAAAAGCACGTCGGAGCCTACTGAATTTTGTCTGATGAAGATCGGTCTCCAATCAAAACGTCACCAATAAACAGTTTTTTTTAAAGGCGTATACTTATTTCTCTCTCTCTCTCTCTCTGCATATATATATACACAATAACAAAGCAAGAGCAATAGAGAGATGAAAATATAAGTAGACATAAACCCAAAAAAATGTTTCTTTAGCCGTCCAAAGCTAAAGACACACCAAAGCTGCTTTCTGTTAAACGCTGATTTGGTACTTCTTGACCGATACTAGGCCTTTCCTTGGTGTATGTGCAGTTAAGTCAAATCAAAGTCTTCCACAGACCATGCAAGACTCTCCGAAGTGCCACATCAAAACTAGCCTGGAAAGCTGGCTGTGACAGCCCCGGTAGATGCACGGCCCATTCGACGCTCGTACTCTTGGCTCACACGGCGGGTAATCTCAGCGCTGCGGCTGGGCGCATTAGTTTCGTTGGGAGGCGCAGCTATAAGGCAACGGTGCGGAAGGCTTTTTGCACACAGCTAACGTTTTACTTCCAGCTGCAAGAACCAGCTCTTACACAAGACAGAGAGCAAAAAAAGTGGAAAGAAAAAACACAGAAAATTTTGAAAACCTAGCAAAACAGTAAAAGCTAGTATTACCTATAGGCGCGAATCAACCTCATAGCTAATTCAAAACCATGCCTCCAGTGGAACTTTCTTTTTCAAGTCATCACAGAGTCCACGCTATACGCCGCGTATACGCAGACAGCAGCGCCAGAGAGGTGTCTAGCGGCAAGAGAGCCGCCTTACGAGAGGCGAGTACATGAATCTCGGCTGAGGGAGCGTTCTTTTGGTTCGCGCATACCCTTCAAAAAGCTCGTTAAAGCTCAGCACTTCTAAAAAGTGCAAACTTTAGTGCATCCAGACTATGAGCCTAAATTACCATCAGTTATCTGCAAAAAAGAAATCCCCCAACCTCGTACTTCCAACTTCAATGCAAGAGAGCTATTGAGCTCGTTTCAATGAAATCCTGGTGGAGGTGTCGTTAGTTGTCAGCGAACAGTTGGTGTTTTTCGTGAGTGAAAATTCGAGTAGATGAAAATAACAAAAGAACGACAACATAAGCCCGAATAAACATCGAGCCGGCGACTTCTGGGTGGCAAGGACGTGTGCTACCAATTTTTCACATCCATTTTTTATAGCAAAATATCACGATTTCATGACAAAAACATACTCATTCAACACACAAACCCGAAAAAGCAAAAACACTCATAAAAGAGAGGTACAGTTTAGAAAGATACGCCTCTCACAGATTTAATACTTCTTCAATGAAATTAGGTCATCACGTAACATAGACATCTATATTGGTGGTTCTTCTTGAACGCGATGCATTTCTCCTATATAAACTGCTTGCTCAGCAAACTTCTTACTAGCGCAACGAGCCTCTAGATAAGCACTCTTCACCACCATTGTCGTTTCTCATTATAAATATTCTGCATGCCAGCATGCATGTGCCTCTAATTTGTCTTAAAACAGCCACATCCGGGATGGCTAACATTCTGAAAAAAACAGTACATGAATGTTGTGTGGAGCGTGGAGCACCTCTAGCGCATGTGAGAGTAGGATGGCGTGATAAAAGCATAAATTCGCAAGAGGCGTTCAATATTGTGAATTACACATCGAGTGACTCATTCAAAAGTACAGATGTTTCAAAATACATGAGCGTAATTAACCATTATCAGGAGCCACAGCAACATGAACAAAGGGCGCAAAGGCGCACGTTGCCTTACGGATGCGTATTGGTTACTTGAGGAATTTGTAAAAGAAAGAATCAAAGCTTACACTGGGTGGTTCCCAACTATACTTGCAGTAAGCATTCTTCCATACAATGCCAGTTTACAAGTGCACTGACGTCCCTTTCTTTCTCGGCTCTGTTCATGGATCATCCAAACGCCTCATGCACACGGAGCCGTGATAGGAATTGAGCAGTGCACGCATATGCACACTT